AAGAGCTTTAACAAAGCAGATAACGCCCACACTGCGGAGGGCAGCGCACCGCAACGGCCCCAAGCGCTCCCACATCCAACTCTAGCCAGTCCGATGACAGCTCAAGGAGGGAAAAGAAACGCAGAGCCGAAGCAAGCAGGCCACGAATACGCAAATCCTCCACCACCAAGGCAGCCGAAAGGGAGGGAACCTGTACGTGAAGCTGCATGACACCAACATCCCACGGAAAGGCAGGGGCGAACAAACAAGCATTGAGATGCTCGAAGGCGTCCCCCAGGAAAACCTGAAACGCCGAATGAGTCTCTCGTCACTCAAGCGCGCAGTGTGCGTGTGACCGACCGAGCGTGTGCCAAGCCTCCAACGAAAAAAGAGGGCAGTCTGCCAACCAGGACGACTCTGAAACTTCATAATGAACCCAGTACGAACGAGAGAGCCGTACACGAAAGAACGCAGATCCATCATGAAGGCATAATCCGGGTCGCATAGGAGGTAAGTCGCCAAGGCTTCCCGCACCTCGGAAGACGAGACTCGGGAAGCTGGAAACCTCAAGAAAGACGGAACCGAAGAATCTACTGGATCACGGGACCGAACCCGGGGAGGGGTGGACACCAAATCCAATTCATACGAGGAGGGAGTAAAAGAGAACCCCTCTCCTTGTAACACCAAGCCCCGCTCGGAGGGCAGAATAACCCAGGCAGGGTCCAATGGGGCGCTTGAGCCAACCCTGAGAACCTCGCACTGAGGACCCGGGGCCGAGCCGGCCTCCAAACCCCCCACCTCCAAAGAAAAGGTGGGAGCTGCCGAAAAAGCAAGAACAAAGGGGGCCCATTGGCAAGACCCAGAAGCTCCGGCAGAAGGACCAGGCGTGAATGCCTCTGCCGCAACCCCAGAAGGGGACACCCCCGAGACCGCCCAAGTCTCAACACCAACTAGACCCTCCCCGAACTCCGAAACCATCAGACGCTTCAGAGCCGGAAGCAAGGGAGGATGGGGGGGTGGGGGATGGGACCGAATGAACTACAGAAGGGGAAGGACTAGGAGAGGCGGACGGAACCAGAGCCGAAGCGACTCCCAAGTCCGAGTCCCTATAACCAAAACGGGGCAGTCTCAGGGCATCCGGGGCTGCAACCAATCAAGCACGTTGCAGCAACCTAAATCTAGCATGCAATGCCATAGCTGCCTGCACCCACATATCAGTATCAGGGGGTTGGGTGAGCTGGAGTATGTACAGACAACACACGTCGCACGACTCTGGGTCAAACAATCACTGACCCAACAAGCAGCATGGCGGAAGCAAAACCAGTGAGTGTCACCCTGAGACAAAGGGACAGAGCAACCTTCAAACTCGCAAGACACGAAGGGGGACTCAGGGGGTCACATCCATCGGACCACGTAGCCCCCCATGGGGTTTCCCAGGCCGTTAACCTTGGAGACACGCTAAGGGAAGCCCAGGCATGGTACTGCGAACCAGCGCCCATGTCTACCAAACAAACTTCTAAAGCTGAATCCCCGGGACGTGTTCACTCACGGGGGCCAGTGTGAGTTTCTCCTCGCACTGCAGACCAGGAACAAACAATAATCTGAACCCGAATGAGGCACAGAACGTAACCTGCAGGCAGAATGAGAGTGGGCTGGATGAGACAAAACTGGCACGGTGCACAAGAATGGGAATCCCTGGATGAGTCCGAAGTGTCAAAAGACCCACTGAAACGACTAGGAGGGGGAAGTGGAGGACCAGCAAGGAAAACTGATCATATAATGATGAGAAATGGGAAAACCAAAGGAGCAAGAGACCCTCCACCAAAAAACCAACATCCAGAAAGGGCTGAAGGTTACCTCAGTCCCTGAAGAACTCTCCTCAGGTCCACCCTAACTCCCCTTTCCCTGTCAGCCAGTCAATATGGCTGGCTTCTGGGGCAGAGAAACATTCCACACCAAGACAGAATGCATTGTCTTAGTGTGGACATGGAGGAGCAGGGGAAGAGGTAATTGTGAAGGCAAAGCTCCGCATCCCCAGTGGGAAAAGATAACTCAACTGCCTTCACTGTCAAACTGGATGGGACCACCCTGGAGAAGACCAAGCAAACTAAACACAAATGAAAGCACTCCCACAAGGGATGCAGTGTAGATGGAGTTAAGAGGAGCACACCAACACCCTGCACATTCCAGATGCCAATACTGGTGCATCCAAATGAACACCAAGCCATGAACTCCAAAATTGGAACTCATAAATTGGCAGGAGCCTTCACCAGAAAAGGTATGTCAGGGTAGATCAGAGCAAGACTTGAACAATTTAAAGCTGACCAAGCCTAAAACGAAGTCAAACAGGAGAAAGGTTCTCACCAATAAGGTAAAAAACATGTGGATTTTTTTTTTCTGCCATATTCACAATTTATTTGAATTTACCCGAGAGCCACTAACACTATAAAGGGCTCTGCAAGAACAGGAAGCTGGTGGCTTGTCAAAGGTTCCCCATTCATCCTGAAGATTTTGTTCTAGCTTTAACAGAGTTTTGGCATTTATGGCTTTGGCAGGTAGGTGGTTCCATAGTTTTATAACCCTGTGGGTGAAAAAAAGCATCTCCTGTTTACAGTCCTGCATTGTGGCTTGTTGATCTTGAAACCATTGCACCTTGTTTGTGTTACACCTGACCTTTTGAAGAAATTGTCTGAATCAACATTTAGTGTCACAGTTGCTGAATCACAGTTGATCAACAGTTGGACCAAACTGTTTAGTATTTTAAAGGTTTTGATGAGATATGCCCTGTTATGCCTGGTTTGAAGTGTTGTTAGCCCTGAGGTCCTCAACCGTTTCTGGTACGAGAGCTAACTTAGCTCTGGAAATACCAACTCGGAGACAGTTGGAAAAAATCCTGACAAAGTATTAGAAGCCTGCCATATGCAACTGGTTTCTTGTCCCCACAGAGATACAATGAACATTAGCCAGCCACAGTCTCCCATAATGATATTCAAAGGTTGCTAACAATTATTGGTAGGTTAGGAAAACAATTAATTTTATAAAATGAAATTGATAATATACACAGACTAGTTTCCTCCTTCTTTTCATTAAGAAACCAGAAAATATTACTGTATCTACTAAATCAACTTTGGAAACCCCATAGAAGAAATGAAAATATTTCTTCTATGGACACACAATATATCGGAGCTGGTCGGCCGAGCGGACAGCACGCTGGACTTGTGATCCTGTGGTCCTGGGTTCGATCCCAGGCGCCGGCGAGAAACAATGGGCAGAGTTTCTTTCACTCTATGCTCCTGTTACCTAGCAGTAAAATAGGTACCTGGGTGTTAGTCAGCTGTCACGGCCGGTGCTTCCTGGAGGTGGAGGCCTGGTCGAGGACCGGGCCGCGGGGACACTAAAGCCTCGAAATCATCTCAAGATAACCTCAAGATATCGAGAGACACACTTTGCACCCAAGATGCAAATGGATTGTAAAACCTACCCAACTCAACCTAAACTAACCCAGCCTAACCTAATGATATATATGAGTTTACCCGAGTGCCACCATCTCTCTAGTGACCTCGAAATGGACAGAAAGTTGGTGACTGGTCAAAGGTCTCCCCCATTGTTCCCGAGAACTTTTTCTCTCTGGATTTTAAATTGCAGATTTTAAAATGTCTTGGAATTTACGTCTTCGGCAGATGGGTGATTACGCGAGTTTCCCTTATGGATGAAAAATGATCAGTTTTCTGTCCTATATTGTGGGGTGTTGAGTTTGAAGTTCTTGCTCTTTATGTTATACTGGAACTTTTAAAGAAGTACTCTGGATTAACATCCTCCAACTTGGCCCTGAGCCATTACTAGTACAGTGTGAGAGTTGACTTAGTTCTGGGATGATTTTTGCCACTATACTATACTGTACAGTATATAGATGTTGCTATTAAAATGTGAGCTTTGTCAGAGCTTTGTGTACAATCTGACCATAATCTGGCCAGATACAAGCAACTGCCGAGAGCACATAATTGTCATGTGGACTTGCAGGTCTAACCTAACTCAATAATAATGGTTACTCAGGTAAAAGTACATACATTAAAAATGAGTTACAAACAGAAAGTTATATTTCTAGACAGAGCTAGTGCAAATTATGCCTAAAGCCACTAACACGCAGAGTTTTCGGGCAACCCATGATATATACAGTATTACGAATGTGTGAAGTCTACCGTTTGTGGGTGTTGGAAACAAAACAGCCGGGGCAAAATACTGATCTTCAAAAAGACCACACACACCAAACTGGCCCGTCTGTGTTGAAGAAAACATTACGCTTGAACAATAGGGTTCAAAACCCCTTATGTGACTAGAACCTTTCTGCTTCCATTCATAGGATAGGTATGGGGTCTACAATACTCAATTTAACCTGCTAATTTTGTCTCGCTTTTGCGCTATACATTCATATGCCTTGCACACACTGTACGGCATCACCACACACTCAAGATGCCCAAGAATAGCTCCGGCACTTTAACTAAAGACATTTTAATTAAACAAAAAAAAAATTATTGATGAGGAAAATTTTCAGATTGCTTGAGCACAGAAAATGCTTCACATGGTATAATCCACCATACATTTCCTACAAAATCTTCAAACACCTTGGGTCATTTATTATAGATCCCTCACTTCAGTCAACTACCTTTTTCACAACAAAACAAAATTGTCTTCAAATCAAATTTCCCCAAAACCTGTATCATACAACTTTCTGTAGGAAATCGACTCTAAAACCCATAGTAACGCTCACAAATCTCTCCTACGGCCACCTAGTCATACAATTCCAATGACAAACATGCCATATAGGGTAGAGGCGAGCACACACCAGCCCGTAGCGAGGACACAAGCCACATATACAGTACATATACATATATGTATCCTAGCGAGAGGGGCCCAAGCAGCTCCTCTGACACACATACAGATGTGCTCTTCTGCAGGTCAATAGTCTGGCCTGTAATACCCCTCCTCCACACACCTTACATAAAGCTCCAGCCACTACCTACCTTGCCAAAGAGTGGGTGGTTGTGGGTGTCGAGCTCCATAGTCGTGGAGAGAAGTACTGAAGGCTCGGGCAGGGCACACGTCTGGCCTGGCTCACTCCCTCTCACACAGCCGCCATCAACTCCACCAACCTCCTTCTCTCTCACAACTCATTGCCTATTCACATATACCAAAAAACTTTTATCGATTTTAAAATGTACGCAAAATATGGCGAAATAAATGTATATAATTGGCGAGGCTGATATATACATAATTCCCCCCCTAAAAGTAAGCTTTGATGTTTTAATGCTATTGAAATTTAACGGGTTATATATTTAGCGGTCTCTGGTCAAAATATAACTCGGTCATCTCTGAAGATGATATATTTTCTTCGGATATTAATGTATTTTAAGGAGAAAATACAGTAAGTGTATATAGTTGTTAGGATGGGGAGCAATATAAGGGAGGCAGAGAGTGCGTCTGGGGTCACTCAACACCCTGTGACGCATCTTGGATTTTTCAACAATAATGTGAAGAAAATAATTGTAGTAATTATAACAGTAGCAATAATAAAGACAGTAATGATTCAGAGGTCAAATACAACCCACTATCTCATAAGTAACTAATTAATAAGGCCATATACATTTATCCTAGCTTGCTTCCTGCCCTCAGTAGTTAGCTCAAGATATATTTTAATTACTGTACATATATCAACTACTTTTTCTCTTTGAACAATCTTAGGCACTTTAGCAATATGCTCCTTTCCCATTCTATAAGAGTACAGGTCAAAAGCTAGCTATACATTCATTTAATCACCCAGTCTCATAAGAAGGTTGGTCATACAGTACATGAGATGCAAGTCTAGCCTATTTTAACTTGTAAAGTTAAAATTTAACGTTGAATTAAAATTAAAGCAACTTGTAAAGCTCTTGTAACCGATTACTAAGCCCAAATTAAAATTAAGTTAATTATATATAGAGGGATATACAACCGGGCTGTGGTGGGGTATGTGGGCCTGCGGGCCGCTCCAAGCAACAGCCTGGTGGACCAAACTCTCACAATTCTGGCCTCGGGCCGGGCTTGGGGAGTAGAAGAACTCCGAGAACCCCATCAACCAGGGATGTTAATTACTACAGTACTTGTTTTTATAACTTCCAAAATCACTAATTAGTTACTTTGTGGTTAAGAATAACCATTTCTGTGCTTATTAATGCTTAATAACACATCTGCTATACAGCATACACTGTAATAATAATAATAATAATAATAATAATAATATAGGTAACATGGTATATTAGCATAGTATGCTATAAATGAACCCACTTTACTATTATGTATAGTGTAACTTTACTAAACCTATTTATATATATATATATATATGTTCTTAAAGAAGGTGGGAGATAACCTCATTGGGAAAACTAAAGACTCAAGAGCGGCCGGTTTCCTGTTCCAGCGCTTCAGTGTCGCAGTTCAGAGAGGAAATGTGTGCTGTATCCTGGGTATGCACCCAACCTCCAAAGAGCTGGATGAGGTCTTCGAACACTGATTGTTATATTGTTATATATGTGTGTGTGTTCTCTGTAAACTGTAGCATAGCAATAAAAAAAATAAACAAATAAAAAAAAATAAAAAAAATAATAGGGGTGGTAGGAGAGGAAAAGATTAAAGTGTTCAGTGAGAATCCACAGGGTTTTCTTTGAATACTCTTTATTTTCTTCTTCGAGGCTGTGGGTCCTTACAATTGCACCAGAAGAGGTACCACTAATTAATTAATTATATATATATATATATATATATATATATATATATATATATATATATATATATATATATATATATGCATAAAAACCACATGTGAAAAATAGAGAATGCTTAACTCATTTTCGGCTACATTGCCTTCATCAGAGCAAAGTAGAATGCCATTTTATTTTGCTCTGATGGAAAGCGATGTAGCCGAAAACACGTTAAGCATTCTCTATTTTTCACATCTGGTTATTCCGCATACTTAGATCAGTGTTTTTTTTATCATTGTTGCATAGTTGCATATATATATATATATATATATATATATATATATATATATATATATATATATATATATATATATATATATATATATATATGTATATATATATATATAACTGAAAACTCACACCCCAGTGAGTCTGGGGTGTGAGTTTTCAGTTGCATATTGTCCTGGGGACCATTCAGGCTTGTTCGCATATATATATATATATATATATATATATATATATATATATATATATATATATATATATATATATATATATATATATATATATATATATATATATATATATGTGTGTGTGTATTTATGTATTCATTGTATGTATAATTCCTTGAGTCAGGAGGACAGCAGCCAGTGTATATATACATGTTAGGCTTATGTTTGGGTCCCGGTAGTACAGTCGAGTTCATTCTGAATGCACAATCGAGAATCCCAGGATCGAATCCTGGGTGAGACAGATATGGTTGAGCACATTTCCTTTCACTTAATGCCGCTGTTCACCTAGCAGTAAGTAGGTACTCAAGTGTTTACTAGTTGTGTTTTTACGGGGGTTGAGCTTTGCTCTTTCGGCCCGCCTCTCAACTGTCAATCAACTGTTTACTAACTACTTTTTTTTTTTTTTTTTCCCACACCACACACACACACACACACCCCAGGAAGCAGCCCGTGACAGCTGACTAACTGCCAGGTACCTATTTACTGCTAGGTAACAGGGGCATTCAGGGTGAAAGAAACTTTGCCCATTTGTTTCTGCCTCGTGCGGGAATCGAACCCGCGCCACAGAATTACGAATCCTGCTCGCTATCCACCAGGCTACGAGGCCCCGCAGTACTCAAGTGTTAGTCAGCTTGTTGTGGGGTTGCATCCTGGGCAGGGTCAGTAATTTGGACTTGTGCAGGACATGGCCTCGATAAAAGTCAAAGGTGTATGAATACACTCTAGCTTCCTGTCCCCCTGACAGTAAATTATATTGAGGTCTCCCCCAGGGTCAAATTACTGACCTTTCCCAGAATGTAATCCGCACAACAAGCTGGCAAGCTCCTGGCTACCTATTTACTCCTCACTGCTAGGGGAACAGAACATTAGGAGATAGGAAATGTACCCAACTATTTCTGTCCTGCCAAGGATTCAAACACAGGATTTCCGATTTTGAGTCGAAAACGAATTTGATTTTACTATATAAATATATATATATATATATATATATATATATATATATATATATATATATATATATATATATATATATATATATATATATATATTATTAAATATGACCGAAAAAGTAAGATTAATAATTCTAACACGAATTTTCTCAATCTTTCGTACATTTCTTTTCACTGTTGGGGGTAATTCAAAAATCAAAAATTGATTTTTGAATTACCTCCAACAGTGAAAAGAAATGTACGAAAGATTGAGAAAATTCGTGTTAGAATTATTAATCTTACTTTTTTGGTCATATTTAATAATATATGTCTACAGGAAAGACTGCTACCAAAATATACTAATATATATATATATATATATATATATATATATATATATACACACATACATATACACGTTTTGGCTACCATCCTCTTTTGTCCGGTCGTGTTGGTCGAGCGGTTAAGGGATCCTGTACGCCAGCAGAGTGATCCTGGCAGTATGGGTTCGAGTCACTTCTAGGGTGTGAGTTCTCAGTTGCATATAGTCCTGGGGACCATTCAGGCTTGTACACATTTGTGTTCCTCACGTGTGCCCCAAAGAATGAGGTGATTTGATAAAATACCATGCCCAAGATTACCAACTGAGTGCCGGCAGGGGGATGGAAATAGCCTCGGCTACCATCCTCTTTTGTCCGGTCGTGATGGTCGAGCGGTTCAGGTATCCTGTACGCCAGCAGAGTGCTCCTGGCAGTATGGGTTTGAGTCACTTCTGGGGTGTGAGTTTTCAGTTATATATATATAATATTGTGACGTGCTCAGTTATAGCGCAGCTACTATCCTGGCAGGTGTTGTATGCCAAATGCACATTAATAAAAAAAAAGAAAAAATAAGAGAAAACAAAGTAAAAGGAAACTGCTAAGCCTTTACAGTATATAAGTTACAGAAAATAAACATGATAACAAACAATTTAAATATTTTACTTTAGCAAAACTTAACAAAAATTTACTTAAATTGTATATAAAATTTTAATAAACAATTAATGACAAAAAACTCTGAACCACTTGGCAGAGAAGGCCATGCCATCCACACTTGTCGGCTACTGCCTCGCTACAAATACTCCTGTATTCGGTGTAGATTGGGGCAGTGAGGCAGAGAGCCACAACAATTCGGAGGGCCTGTGGTGTGAGACGCGTGCCGGTTGCTGATATTGGGGTTGCTAATAGGAAGTCACCTGCAGGAGAGCTGCTACAGCTCTAAGTCGGGCAGTATCCTGCAGTGTTGTTGCAGCTTCAAGGGGCATGTCACAGCTGCTTGGTCAACAATGGGACGATCCCAGCTGGATTGCTTGTGAGCTTCAGAATGTGGTGGTTGGGGTGCTGGTCTGCAAGAGAGACCCATTTGGTGGTGCAGATTATAATGCTGGAATCATGTACCCCTGCCTGTTGACCTAGGTACTAAGATAGGATTTCCTTCACCAGGTTGTCAGATGCCACTGGAGAGGTCAGGAATGCTGGTACAACAATTTGTGTTGCTGTGCTAACACTGAGGCCCCTGAATCTGACAGAAAGGGAGGTTTGTTTCCACTGTGAGTCATTGAGGAAAGGTCAAGAGCTTTTGCTAACAATGATTTAAACAAGCCGTCATAAGGGAAAGGACTTACACATACTAATGAAGCCACTATTGTGCAAAGCGTTTTGGGCAAAACTTAAAATAATATAGGAAAAAGGCTAATAAAATGAGAACATTCAAGAAAAATAAAAAAATGAATACAAGAAAAGTTGATACTTATGGATGACAAGCATAACTATTACATTATGGATTCAGTAGTTCTAGCAACAGTACAGTAGTTTATTTATATTATTAACAGAATAGAAATACAAACGTGTAATTTAGAAAAGCAACTGGACTCGTTCTCATAACATTTTCTTGGAATATTACAGAACATAGAGTAATATACTGTAGTATAATTTAAGTTTAATAGGTCCAACACTTAAAAATAAACACGG